GACTAAGATAAATAACCATTATATCTATCAGTTATACTATATCTATTTTATCTAGTATTTCTATGTGATATAATCTAACTAATATATATAATAAAAATAAGAGTTATAATAGTTATAAGAGATATAAGCGAACTACAAGAACTATTAGAACTATTAGTTTTACTAGTTTCTTTGATATTTGTAACCTTTGTATTACATTAAGACATGTGTGATAAGTCATATGTTATTCAAGTATATTTCAGGTCTAACAATACATATATAGCTAATTTTGTTTTTCTTTTGTCATATAGTTCTGTCCAGTATCAGTAGCTAATTTTTATTTTGGTGGTTTTCTTTTGTTATGCAATTCGTCCAGTAACAGTAATCTGTTGGTTTTCTTTTGTTATATGATTCTGTTCAATAACAGTGGTTAATTTTTTTTTATTAAAAAAACTACTAAAAAATATATAGAGATTCTTTAAAGTTTTATTTTTATATGTACGTAGTAAATAGAGGTGTGAGCGCAATGTCATAATTGATTATAATTATAAGAATTATGATGCCAATTATGGTATTATACTCACACTTCTAGTAGCAATAATGTTTAGATAAATATATATATATATTTTAATAATGGAGTTTTGTAAATATTTAATGGTTATAAATTGCTAATGTGTAAAAAAAAAAAAAAAAAAAAAAATGGTACTTTATAAAATTGGAATATGTTTTTCATGCCAAACATGCTTATTCTGTTTTATCGACCTAACTCAAAGTTTATATAAGTGTGATACTAACCAAAAACCACCTCGTGATAAAACTCTACAACAAATTTTTAATAGATTTTACAATCCTAATGATATCCAAATAAATCAAAAACTATTTCTTAAAAACTATAATAATCTTTTGCATATAACTGTAATTTTGATCAATCGTTTAATTTTAGTTTGTGTTCAACATATTATTTGCGATATAATCATGCTAAAAAAAAGATACAAACATTTTCTCAGCTACTACAAGTATTAGTGATTATACTAAAAAAGGTTCTAAAGACACAGACTTTTCTTTAGTTACAAATATTAGTGATGATGATTTCAACTCTTTAGTAGACTCAGTTTCGTCAGAAGGTTTTACTTTTAATTCAAATTTTCAAGTCAAGGTTGTAATTAAAATTAAGAAATCAGATCTAATACTAGCAAAATGGTTCATATTTGAATTAGACAATTTTGATATTTTTCAAAATAATCTAATTAAGCATATTCAAGACCGCATCAATAATAATCATATCGATAAAAATGATGTTCAAGTTTCTTATAAAATCAACGGTCATGGACAAGCAATGGCTTTAGATGATAAAAATGATTATAATGCATTTATTAGTGAATGCAAAAAATTAGAAAAGTTAAAAAAATTTATGTTATTAAATGTTGCGCTAAAATTACCTCATAAAAAAATAATAAAAAAGGTAATAAAAAAAGAAAATTTAAAGTACATTTCGACTTTATATTATATATTATAATAAGTTATAATATGCATATATTTAACAATATACTGTATATATTTATAGTATTTAATTGAGAAATCCAGTGATTCGAATGAAGAGACACAAGAAATAAAAACTAAAAAGCGAACATTGTACCAAAGGAGTCAAAACTTAATTCTGATGAAATCGAACTAGCCAATATTATCACGCAAATTCGAACTAAATACCAATGCAATATTCATACAACATCTTGTTATATTGAAGATGATAAACATCTTGCATTAATACCTACACATTTACAATTGTGGACACAAGATATAGTAAGTGGTATTTCTATTTCTATTTTTTGTTATATTAACATTTTATATTTGTATATATGTATATATATGTATACGTATGTATATATACTATACAAGAGTGAGAAATTAACAGTTTCCTAATATAAATTAATTTTAAAACACATCTTATTTGTAGAAAAATAAACTCACTACTATCAAAACACCATCTTTATACCCGACCTTTGGTATTATTAATGCCATTAAGGCTAATACTCAAATACCACAATTGCAATCGCCGTCTGTGGTTAAATTAAATTCAGGCTCAATTCCAAGTCTTCAAGAATTTTTTGAAGAGTTGGATAAAAATTATAATGGCAATGATGCTTACTTAGATTTAAAAGCAGAATTTGAATGAGAAGAAATAACTGTAAATACTATTAAGGACTTAAGTGATACAGAATTAATTCAATTAGAAGTTACTAAAATTGGGTTGCAAAGAAATATTAAACAGGCAGGAAACAAATATTGATATATAGTTTTAATAAAGGAGGTCTGGAGCATTATGGTTATTTATATTTTTTTGATGGGTTTGGAAGTTTAGAATATCAAGTCAAATATTACAATATGTTTAATAAATCTTGTGAATCAATATGCTTCTTATAAAATTTTTACTATTAGCAACTCAAGTGTATCATAATATCTGATCTTTCTTTATAATTTAATAAAATTTATATAAAAATAATAGAAAGATATGGCTATAAAAAAATTTAATAATAGTGGATAATCTTCTATAGCCATTACTGGAAAAGCATAATATAAGTTTTGAAGAAACTTTCATAACATACCATAGAATAATTATAATGTAGTAGACTAAGTATGAAGGATATTATAAGAATTATTTATGATAACATAGCTATATCCAGTCATGATAAATCTTTATATGTTACTATATATATAGTAAATACATAATTGGATTCAATAGTTTTATGCAGAGTCAAATAAAGAAATCAATCCTTTAACTTTTTAAACTGATATTCGGTTCAGATAATAGTGAAGAGACCATATTTTCTTATAGATAAAATTTGCAACATGTAAGCCTAAATAGTTGTAATTGTTAATTAATCTCAACGTCTGTTACTAAATAACGAGCCACAAAAAAAAAGAGCTCCTGTAGTGCAAGCAAATAAGAATTTTCTTATTATTTATTTCTTTTTTATATCTGCAATTGACTAACTATTATCTAATTACAGCATTCTTAAGTTCTTAATGCAACAATTACAATTGCATCATATGAGCACGATAAGTATCTCTATTAATCCCAACTTGAAACCATGTAGGCAAAACCATTACTAGATCGATCATCATTGTGCAGAAATAGTATATTGGGTATATTTGCTGTGCCTCAGCAACTAGCTTGCAAATGTAGATCATATCATCAGTTGAGATGCATGACCTATAAAAGTAAGAAGGTAAAATAAACTGAATGAAAGACCTTTTACTTGGGCTTTTTTTTTATTCTTGGTTTTTTGAATCTCTGATGTTTTTTTACTAGCAGCATTCCTTAATTTAAATTACTTTAATGTCTTTCTTAACTTAACTCTAGTAGCACTTTGGCATCTTATTTCTAATAGCATTCTT